GAACACCCCCAACTCTCTCAGCCTGTCCTCACAGGAGAGGTGTTCCATCCCTCTGATCATTTTGGTGGCCCTCCTCTGGACCCACTTCAATAGGTCCATGTCTTTCCTGTGCTGAGGGCTCCAGAGCTGGACACAGGACTCTAGGTGGGGTCTACCAGAGTGGAGTAGAGCGGCAGAATCCCCTCCCTTGACCTGCTGGCCACGCTTCTCTTGATGCAGTCCAGGATGTGGTTGGCCTTCTGGGCTGTGAGCGCACATTGCTGGGTCGTGTTGAGCTTCTCATCACTAACATTCTCAAGTCCTTCTTGGCAGGGGGGCTCTCAATCCATTCACCTCCCAGCCCGCATTTGGGCTTGGGACAGCCCTGACCAATGTACAAGACCTTGTATTTGGCCTTGTTGAACCTCATGAGGTTCCCACAGGCCCATTCCTCCAGCTTGTCCAGGTCCCCCTCGATGGCATCCCTTCCCTCCAGCGTGTCAACTGCACCACACAGCTTGGTGTCATCAGCAACTTGCCGAGGGTGCACTCAGTCTCACTGTCCATATCGCCCGCAAAGATGTTAAACAGCGCCGGTTCCAATACCAATCCCCACGGAACGCCACTTGTCACTGGCCTCCATTTGGACTTCAAGCCGTCAACCACAACTTTTTGGGTGTGACCATCCAGCCAATTCCATATCCACCAAGTGGATCAACAAATACATGTCTTTCCAATTTAGAGATGAGGATGTCATGCAGGACAGTGTCAAATGCTTTGCACAAATACAGACAGATGATGTCAGTTGCTCTTCCCTTATCCACCAATGCTGTAACCCCGTTGTAGAAGACCACAACGGCATGATTTGCCCTTGTGAAGACATGCTGGCTGTCACCAATCACCTCCTTATTTTCCATGTGCTTTAGCACAGTTTCCAGGAGGATCTGCTCCATGATCTTGCCAGGCACAGAGGTGAGACTGACTGGCCTGTAGTTACCTGGGTCTTCCATTTTTCCCTTTTTAAAAATGTGGGTTATGTTTCCCCTTTTCCAGTCAGTGGGAACTTCACCAGACTGCCATGACTTCTCAAATACGTTGGATAGTAGCTTAGACAACTTCATCTGCCAGTTCCCTCAGGACCTGCAGTTACATCTCATCAGGTACATCCTGATACAATGCAGCTGGGCAATATAGTCCCTATATCTGTTACATTAAAGTATACTTTTTAAGATGAATCATCATTAGATTGTATTGTGAACATGAAAGTATAAGTCCAGTAAGCTCCCAGGAGCTAAATACAGTACATACTATTTGCCCAGCAGTACGTCTTCTCTCTCTACTGCGGCTTCAGTATATCATGGCTACAATTTCTCCTGAACACGCATATCAGAAGCATCAGTAGAGGGTTATATTTTGATTATGATGTGTAGAGGGAAGTTGCAATGATTGACAAAGGAAGCCTTACTGGCTTACTATCCAGTTTGTTTAGATATTCTAAAAGTTTGACTTGTATACCACCTTCTGACTATGTATTATCTACCATAATTTTTTGCCCCAGGCATACGTATCTTCCCTTTGACAAGTAAAACCAATTCCAATTAACTGTTCACATCAAGCTGTAAAAAGCTTCCTGCACGCAATACGGCTTTGCTAGGTGTGTTTTTCAGCTGTGCACTGAATCAATCACATGTCTCAATTCGCTAGCTCTTCCATGAGGTCCTAACCATACTGAAATCAGGGCTGGGACTTACAGCACGTCCTACTTCTTATTTCAGGTATCGTTTTCACCTTCCATGCCTAAGCACTAGCCGAATGCTTCTAAGGGCTCCTGAAAGTACGTAGTCATGCCCGTTTCCTTTGCCTTAACTGCATCACAAATATAGACACAGAGACAGACACTAGAACTGTAGTTTCTAAAAATTTTGGAGGAGTCTAGCGCAGAAAAGACTTTAAAAAAATGAAGCTTAGCTTCAGAAAAACAAGAACTCCAGTCACTGTGCAACAGATTTTTGCTTTTTTAAAAGGATCTTATGTTCAGCTATTTTGTAGTTCTGTATTTTAATCCCTGTTTAGAATCAAAACCATTCAAAATTTTAAAAAAGTGAAACAGTTTCTGCAGAAAAACAGAACATTTTAGGAATTTGTGCATATTTTCATCAATTCACTGAATAACCCAATCTAATTCTTATACAAGAATAAAAAAATGTATGCTTACACAGCAGAATAGAAATATAAAAAAAAAGAGAAAGGTATTTTACTTTACCTTCTTAACAGGCGATGTAGGTGCCCCTTGGCCACCGACTACTGAAGGTGCTGTCACAGCTACCGATGATGATTGTGTACTTGTGGTATTTGCATTATTAGTTACAGCTGCCAAGGTTTTGGTCTTATCTACAAAATATTTACAAGATTTTAATTTTAATTTTTCACTCACAATTTCTTCACTTCTACCACATTTGTTCTTTGGAACAAATTTGACAGTCCACTTTGCCAACATTTTATTGTTTATTCCTCAGTGTTTCCCCCTCACTCCCAATCTGTATCTTAGTTAGGTCCACCTTTTCTCCATAACAGTCATGCATATAACTTTTTTTTTTTTTTGCTACTCAGCAAGTCTTAAAACACTGGGACTTGAAGAGACAGAACCACAGAATCATTCATGTTGGAAGTCACCTCACAAGGTCACCTAATGCAACCTCCTCTTCAAAGCAGAGTCAGTACTGCATAGAGACCAGGTTGCTCAGGGCTTTGATGAGTCAGGTCTTGAAAATGTCTAGTTTGATAGGTCAGGTCTTGAAAACCTCTAGAGACAGAGATTCCACAGCCTCTTCTGACAGCCTGTATTTTAGCAGATGGCTACCGACCATAAGAATTTAACAGCAGGAGGTATGTTGGCATGTAACAGTTAATTTGAAATACAGAGGATGCTAAATCAAAGTAAAACATTTGTTCTTGGATAACTGTGTATGTTGAGTGCAAAGAAATAATTAACTGCACAGAGAATCCAGCCAGGGATTCCAGTCAGTAGAGTGATCTGAGGCGGGGACTTACCTTCCAGAGCTTTGACTTTCCTTTTGCTTCATTCCTTCTTTGTCCCATGTTTTTCCCACCTAAGTTTCACTATCCACCTACTCTGTCCTCTTCTGCTTTTAAAAGGATCTTATGTTCAGCTATTTCGTAGTTCTGTACTTTAATCCTTGCTTAGATTAGACGGACTGCTTTGTCACCCTGCCCACATTTCTTCCTCTGTCCTTTGCCTGTGTACCTTAATCTCTCTTGCACAAACATACAGAAAAATGTCATGGTTGTGATACAACAACTGTTGTCACTGCACTTGCTTGAGCTTCATAATCTTACAGCTCACTTCTGTTTCACCTATTCAGACTGCATATCCTTTGGAGTAGGATCCCCATTGGTTTTAAAATACTAAAAACATATCTTTATGTCTACACTACCCATACAGCATAGGAGCAGATAATTTAGAAAGTATGCAATGTTTTCATACAGTGTTCTCATACCTGACATTCAAATTCAGCAAAGTACCATCTATGATTAGAAATTGTATAATTAATGGTATTGCTGTTACACACTTGTTTTAGTTATGGACATTGTTGAACAGATGTTCTGACTAATTAAATATGCAGTAAACAAATAAAAATATTAAAAAATCATCTTATATGACTAACTCTGCACTTAATGGAAAGTTCTTTTTAAACACAAGTGAAAATAAATGGTGGTAAACTTCTAGGTCATGATGATAAAAAGTTCAACAGAACAAAGCACCCTCAGCAAGTTTGAAGACAACACGAAGATGAGTGGTGTGGTTGACAGGCATGAGGGACGGGATGCCATCCAGAAGGACCTGGACAAGCTCAAGGAATGGGCCCATGTGAACCTCATGAGGTTCAACAAGGCCAAGTGCAGGGTCCCTGTACCTGGGTCAGGGCAACCCCCACGATCAATACAGGCTGGGGGATGAAGGAATAGAGAGCAGCCCTGCTGAGAAGGACTTGGGGGTACTGGTGAATGAAAAGCTCAACATAAGCCAGCAATGTGCGCTTGCAGCCCAGAAGGCCAACCGTATCCTGGGTGGCATTCAAAGCAGCGTGGCCAGCAGGTCAAGGGAGGGGATTCTGCCCCTCTACTCCACTCTGGTGAGACCCCACCTGGAGTCCTGCGTCCAGCTCTGGAGCCCTCAGCACGGGAAAGACATGGACCTATTGGAGTGGGTCCAGAGGAGGGCCACAAAAATGATCAGAGGGATGGAACACCTCTCCTGTGAGGACAGGCTGAGAGAGTTGGGGTTGTTCAGCCTGGAGAAGAGAAGGCTCCAGGAAGACCTTATTGCAGCCTTCCAGTACTTCAAGGGGGTTTATAAGAAAGATGGGGACAGACTTTTTGCCAGGGCCTGCTGCGATAGGACAAGGGGTAATGATTTTAAACTAAAAATGTAGATTTAGCCTAGATCTAAGGAAGAGATTTTTCCCAGTGAGGGTGGTGAAACACCGGCACAGGTTGCCCAGAGAGGTGGTAGATGCCCATTCCTGGAAACATTCAAATTCAGGTTGGATGGGGCTCTGAGCAACCTGATCTAGTTGAAAATATCCCTGCTCTTTGCGGGGAGGGTTGGACTAGATGACCTTTAAAGGTCCCTTCCAATCCAAACTATTCTATGAATGCAGACTGACAGTATGATTTGAGCTGATACACAAGCAGATCTGCTGGAAATTTGCAAATGAGAAGTACAGCTTTAAAATATACAGAAAAAGTTGTCAGGAATGTCGGCATGGAAGGAGAAAAACTGTTTTTTCGCAACTGTATTCTGAAATTATTTCAAGGACAGCAAGAACATAGCTGTATGCATGATCAACCTAATATTGACTAGCTTTCAAAAAACATTAAACTACTGAACTGCTGAAAATTTTAGTTTTCAGCTTGTTTCCCTGTCCTTTAGGAGATGGATAGCGTCATATTCATATTTCCCTTCTTGGTCTTACTGACAGAAATGTATTTATTTTTAAAGCGTATTCATGATTATATCATATGATCACTGAAACAATATGTACGTTTTAGGAAAACGTTTCCAAAATCCCAATAGATTAGAAAACACAGTTTCCAGTACTTCAGAATATCGAACACTATTAAAATATTTTACAACCACAACACGTCTTATAGTCTTGAGATTTTTCACTAGAAAACTGTAAACTAGAAAACCTTAGGCTGAATAAGAGGAAAAAAGGGAAAGTACAAGCTTGAAATTTAGAGATGCATCTCTACAGGGAAAAGCTTTAAGTCTAGCTTGCCAAATAAAGTATGATAAAGCCTTGTTGATATTAAAAACCCCAAAGTTTACATAAATTAATTCTTGTGTCACAGTCAAATTTTCCTGGCACAAACTATCTACTGGTAACGAAGAGAACACAGTTACCAGAGTCATAAAGTTCAGGAGACATTACAGTTATTTCAGTGACTGAGAAATTACCACATGCTATACGTTACAAGTGTTTTAAGTTTATCAAAGCTCAGTCTCTGTAAATAAGGTACTCAGGTATACTAAGTTGAAAGACTAATTACAAAGCTTGACAGATGTTTTTTCCAGCTTAACACTGAAATGATGGTTTATTTGAAAATACAAAAATAATTGAAACAGTTTGGTTTCACAACTTATTTTTATTTCTGCCTATGTTAAATATTTATGATATATTGGTTAGCTCTAAAATCCCTCCTTAGCCTTACCTGTTCAGGTGAAGAAATCAGAAATAATTTTTTAAAATGAGACCTGACAGCTTACCAAAAAGGGTTACTTATGTTAAAAAGCATAAGTATAAAATATTAACAAGATATTTCTAATGACATCTATGCCTATATATTGTATTGCTGCACTGTAATTCTAAAAGTCTTCATTAGGATTGAACATACATCTTTAAACACTGATGGTCTGACATTCGTTTTCTGATTTGAAAGAAAAAGATGCTATGCTGTTCTTACATCACTACTTGCTTTAAGACTTTGATAATTTTTCAAGCAAAAAGAAAAGCTACATTCCATTGAAGAGAGAAGTGCAGAGTTATGTGTTTCTTTGCATACAGTTCCAAACTTCTCAAAGAACATTCCTCTTGAAATGAAGTTGTGTATGAAGTAACTGTTAACATTAGAATAGCACCTTTAAAAGTTTATTTCAGTACATGCTGAACAGTAAATACATGCATCATTGCTGTATGAACACCTGAGCTAAGATTGCCAGATTAATTGGTATTTACTTCAGGATGGCAAGAACAAATGAGAATGTTTGCACTTCTGCCGTTCCAATCTCTATGCCAGTTCCACAAGTAAACACTGCTATAAAGACTTAATTTCTGATTTGATCTTCTAAATTCTTCAGTGTTTTCTGACATACTACTTAAGGCTTACATTATTTCAACTATTTCATTGAAAGTATCAATTGTTAAATAGCCAATCAAATAAGTAGGTTAATAGCTTTAACCTAAATAGCCACCAGTAAGGACATCTTTTTGCTATGTCTGTTCCGACTTGACTTTCGACATATATATAAGCTTGCTTTAAAATGATTGGAAGCTTAGTGGAATGCAGAAGAATAAGTGAAACATAAGATACCCAACTCTGTATATTAAATAATGATATTATATAAGTAAGTTTATTAAGAAAGACAATACTCTGAACAACGCACCTGTCTCTGCCTCAGATTCTGAGTCGTCATCCTCTTCCTCTTCACTAGAACAACTGGATTCATCCTTCTTTCCCTCTTCTTCCTCATCTGCTTTTTCTTGCTCCAGAGACTCTATACTAGATGCATTCTTTTCTTGTTCCATAATCAATGTCTCCTTACTGAGTTCAGAAAGAAAAATACTTACTGAGTCCTAAAAAACTTACTAAAGTCTGTCAAATAGGAATTTGTGACAGCTTGTAAAGTTATATTTTTTATTAAGAGCTTATTATTTTTCCTAGTTTACTTACTTTTTGAATGTTTTCTGTGTCTGATTATTATCCATGTTGGCTGTGGATTCAATTAGGGGAGATTTCTTTTCCCGTTTTTCACTATGAAGCTTCAAAACATATAGAATGATGCAGTTAAATTGACAGAATGGTTATCAATGTGACAAAATTACAAATGGAGGGAAATCCTCCTTAACTACTACAAACACTAGAATGTGCATAAGCTTTCGAAGTGCCAAAATTCAAAACTCTGAAATCTCAGAAACCGTTATTCCAAGTAAGTTTTTCGTTGTTCATGCTTCAGATCATAAAATGCCTGCCAGAGAAGGCAAACAGAAGAGCACCTTCTTTCTTCCAAGGCTTTTTGGTCACCATAATTCACCAAATAAGGGCACAAAATAACTTTTGAGATGACTGTGGCATCACCTGAATTGAAGCCCCAAATCAAACTTTTTTTTCTAGTCTATATGCTGCTCTGAGCTGTGTACCATAATCGTATGTATAATAAAGCATAACATATATATATATTTTTCTATGTATCTTTATATGTAAAAAGCCTACCAGATTTTGCTTCTTTTGTAATTCTTCTAAATATCCTAGAATATCTTCATCTGCCACATCAAACGCTGTCTGCCCCTGGAGAGGGGGAAGAAAAAACCACCATAACTGTACAGCAGAATTTAAAAATAACGGATTACGATGCCTTATCACAAGATGATGCAGGTAAGGAGCACATTCAGAGAGAAAAATTAGAAAGTATAAGCCAAGCTCTATTACAAACTGTTAGTCTGTCAGTAGTTGACAACGATTTTGCAATATCTATACCTGATGAGTAAACACTTTTTTAAGAGATAAAAGCATGACTTCAATACAATTTTGCTGTCCTTTGAGGGAGGAAAAAAACTATCAAGGAAAAGAAAATAGATTGAGAGAATATGATTCTCACAATATTAGTTCCAAACAACTATTCCAATGGCAGTCATATGGATGGATACTATACAGTATCCTGTCCATCTTAGACTACCACACACAGCTTGATTTTTTTGAAGTTTAATTTATTTAAGCAAGCTATACTAAATTTAAATAGTCACACTTTCATGTTTTTACAGTAAAACTGTATTTTACATCTTGTATTCTATTTTAGAAGAGATGTGCTACAACCATTTGTTCTCATCCTTCCTTAGTGTATGATTTCCATGGGACATGTACTCGAACAGACAGATCATAATGTGATTCATTAACACAGAGTAATGCTGTCAGCTGGAATTTCTTCAGCTTGCTATACCTTACACCTACACAGCCACTGCAATTCTCAACTAGACCAGACGCCTACAGGACGTGAGAGTCTGTCTTTAAGGTCTGAATTGGTAAAGATTTCAGGAATTCCTTTTCTTCATCTTTACTTGAAGGTAAGAAGGGCTGAAGCTCACATCCTTTCACAAAGAAAGCCTAACTCCAATACTGCAATACAATGTTTTGTATTTGGAAATTTGTATTCAAATACAAGAAGGCTAGAATCTAGACAAAGTCCTAGATCTGTTGGTATAAATGCAGCTGCACCAACACGCTGGGTGGACATACTGAAATGTTGGGAGGACCATGACAAGATCAGACAAGTATGAGCTTCTGTACAATAACCAGCAACAAAGACAGCGCTGTCATTTAAAAGTGGTCATAGCAGTTTCTAAAGGTCATTAAAAGTGTTCATATTTGTCTCTGCTTGTTTCAGTTTCTCAAAATGTTAACTAAAGGCAAACATCTTTCTACTTACACTGTGATGGCTATCTTAACTGGTTAGAAAGAATGGACCTTCAAACCACTAATTTTCATAAAAACCACTAATCCATAAAACTTCTGACCATACAGCAGAAACACGTGCACCTTTCAACAAGCATTACCCAAAACAGCTTGAGGTCCTCTGACATGTGAACTATTCCATTTAATATAACACACCACTAACCTGGAAACTAAACAACGAAATTATCTCAAGTTTATGTTTGCATTATGACTACAGTTTTTAATCTGGCCTTCTATTTTTAGGCAGCTATTAAGTGGGTTTATTTCAAAAAATATGAGTTAGATCTATCTTGACCACAAAAAAATCACCTTGCAAAAAGCTGTTGGAGTTGGAAGGTTGTATCTAAATCCAATCCATAAAAGTTAATACCTGAAGTAAAGTGCCTAAACAATAATGGCTGAGTTCTCTGAGATGCTAAGCAGCTACAACTGAAACCAAGTCCAGAGGAATTTTAAATCTTCGTATCTCCAAAAGCAAAAATGCTTTTTAGCTTACTTAAGAACACAACTGGCAAAACTTTCCTAGCTTGCACAGACAAGCCCATACACCAAATAAAGGAGCTTATACCTCTCTGTACCTCCTTTATTCTTTATTCTTGCCCCTGTTGAGTTGAACATACTTTCATGAGAGTGCTCTCTGGAATACCACCCTCCACATTCTCACAACCCCAGTAAAAAGTCTAACAGATAACTTGATAAACTGGCTTCAATTAATTGCATCAGCTTTTGATTGCCTGACACAAAATAGGTATACAGCTGATATTTAGAAGTTCTGTAAGCATTATACAGAAACAGAGTTGAAGCTATTAGAAATTTAATTCCAGATTTCACTCATTTTATTATAAGCAACCTCAAACTCTAAGGAAGAAAAACTTGACAAAGACAAAAAATGTTAAGCAGCAGTAGTTTTGCCCTTAATATAGAGTAAATACTTGCTAATTCATTATCTGTATCTGCATATTTGCCTAATTTATTCTAGAAAGTTTATGAAAAAATTCAATGAAGAATCCATCTTCAAAATTGTGCAGGTATAATCTATGTATACGGTATTGATGGAAATTGGAAATACAGAATCTATCTGTAAAACAGTTTTAAGAGGAGAAAGAGATCTTCGGCACTTACACAGTTGAATGAAAAGTTCTGGATCCTTGTGAAGCCTATGTGAATCATGAATATATTTCTATCTGTTGGAAGCAAGATCTTGCAAAGCCAGAAAGCTATGCAGGCCTTTGCATAAAAGTTGAGGAAATATAGCTTAGGAAGCATTCAAGTTATGTCTAGGGACTCCAGAGATGCCTAGAAGTTTCTTCCAGCACACCCAAACCAGCATATAGTGATAACTCTTTAGTATGCTAACACAAGCTGATTTTAAGAGTTAAAACACTACCCAAAAGCATCATCATCTTCAGTAATCATATGAAAGTCTGTATGCAAGGCATCAACATCACTAATTTTGTACCTCTGAAATGTCAATAAATCCATTCTATTTTTAATTTCCCTGTCAAAGATAACATGGATCATTTAATATAGGACTAACCATAAAGTGGGCCTAGAAATTAATTTAGACAGAGAATTTAGTTTTGAACACAAACATGCTATTTTGACAAAACATGCATTATATAAAGCTCCACGTACAGTAAACAGCAGTTTATCATCACTTTTCTTACCCTGGCTTCTAAAGTCACTTTAGAGACCAGAACTTTGTATCTTGACAAGGATTACATAAAAATCCTACCACTTTGTTGACAGCCTCCATATCACATAGGTTTTCCACTAAAATGCGACATGCTTCTTCTTTACCCCAGTGAGCAGCAGCATGAAGTGGTGTCCAGCCATCATAATCTTTAATATTTACATCATAGCGAGCCTGTATTAAAAGCCTAAAGAAATTAGAAGAATTAGATCTCGACACTGCTGACAGGAATAAATAAACTTTCGTAAAATCTTAAAATTATTCTACAATAATATCCTTCTCCTTTGTCATGATACACATTTTAGTTGGGTTATTGACAATCGATTGATTTCATTTCCTCCTTTTTCATTGTTCAGTAGGTATATACATTTTTAAGGAAAATTCAAGAAAAATAGCCTTTTCCATTTTCTTCTTTATTGACTTCCTCTTCATTCAGCCTCCATTGTTTCTATACAGTTAGATATTTTTCTCTACATGTGCAGTAATAGAGAAATGCCCTTTTAAGGAAAGGAAGGCTGTAAATTGTCAAAACTTGTTAAAGTGTTCTTATTGAGGAAATTATTAAAACCTCCTCCTCCTCCTCCTATTCTAATATTAGTTGCTACAAGCTGTTAAGTCTAATATTAGTTGCTTGAAACTTGCATCTCCTCCTGTCACTAACAATTGATGTTGTAACAATCTGGTGTTTACGTGCTTCAGTTGCTCACTGAGAGGGAGCAGAGCTCCTCAGATAAAGGACCTGCTTTTCAGCCTCCATTCAACACTCAAATTCGGCATGGATCTGATGTGAGCGTCGAACTGACCATGGACACTTAACCTGACAAATAGTTTTGTGTAAAGGACTACCAGCTCTCTGAAACACTATCCGTAATTCTTACAAATCACATAACCGTGAAGTAGTCTTCTCAAAAAATTCTCTCCATTTCTCAGGAGCCAATATACTTATAGTAATATCCTCCAATGAGTCAACTTTCACACAGGCTCAGCTGCAAAATCTTGCATCCTACAGAGAGCACACATTTTTGATAATTTTAAGCCATGACGAAAACTGCCTGCAGCTGTATTTTTCACCTCCTAGGAAAAGTACATGGACCGGACTATAAAAAAGACACTGAGAGCTAAAAAAAATGGTTATAGATATAACTCCCTTACAGACACATGCTATTCTGAAACAAAAATTATTCTTTTCCAACCAAATCCTCTCTGCCAACCTTAAAGGTAGCAATACTTACAGTCAGGGTGTGTGCTCATTTTCATTCATGTTACAGTATGTAACTGTTCCTAGTACTGCCAAAGCAGTCAAATACATTTACAATCACAGTAGAGCAATGTATTATTAAGTATGCTTTACTTCAATAAAGCAGAGCTTAGAGGAAAAACAAATTAAACCTCTGTTAAGAGTATATACTTGTACTGTATTGTATTACTGAAAAGCTACCTGTGAATTAGGGGACACCAAATGCCTGAAGCTTTCCAGGAAAGATTTCAAGAGTCATGATTTTCAATAATATCAAAAAAGCAAAATTAAATTAAATGTTCTTTAGGTCTGAAAACCTTTAGTCTGGATTACAAACTCTGTTTTATGTATGCAAATAAATATGGTGTCTTGAAAATATAAATCAAACAGAATGCTAGCTGGCATTATAAAAAGGTATTTACCATGTGTACACAGTTGGCTTTAGAAACAGGGGAAGTTTTTTGTCAGCTTTCTTCTTTAAAATAGGTATTTAGCCTCAATATGCACACTGTGTTCGTATTTTGAATAACTTCACATAGAAAGCTAAAAGCATCATGATTATGAGTGCTTGAAAACATAAAATCAAGCTTTGAGGAACAGTGCTAGAGATGGTTATTTTCCAAGACAAACCCCAAAAGTCAGAAGCGTCCAAGCCTGTCAATTCCAAGCAGTATTACATCAACATGACCATCAAATATGAAAAATTTCCATTTAAACCACTTACTTTAAGACTTCTGTATAGCCCTTAGCAGCAGCTACATGAAGTGCTGTACCACCAGATTTTGCATGCCTGACATCATTTATATGGCCGCTGTTGAGCCACTGTCTTGCATCTCTTAGCATTATTCGTTCTTCTTCTTTTCGAGCTGCCTCTATATCAACCCCTAATTCAGAAAGGGAGGGAGAGAAGGGAAGAGGACACAAAATACTTTAGTTCAAATACTTCAATTCAATTATGTAACAAATCTTATACCACGTTTATGTGATACAATAAAAATATCAGCTAAACAATACGAATGATGTTGATGGTTAGATATGAATTATCTTTCTGAAGATGAACCCCAGGAGGTTATGGAAACATCCATTATTGCATGACACTTTGCGTGTATAATGCATTTTTTTCCCCAAAGGTGGGGGGGAGGGAGGAGAAGAAAGCTACTAAAACTGGCTCTTCCATTTTAAGAATGTCTACAATCAAAGTAGTAATCACTGAAGTGACTTTTTAAAAAAAGAGAAAAAATGTATTTTAACCTTCCAAGCACCAAAATGTAAGTCTGGTTTGATGTATCTCTAGAAAGTAGAAAACAGCTACAATTTTTTTACAAGAAGGTATCTATGGCAAGAGGAACAGCCTAGCTTCTCAACATTGATGAATATGTACGAGAAAGATAAAGCTTTATTTTTCACACTTTCTGAAAAATTTCTGGTTAATAACAGCTTGCTTGCTTTCACTGCGAAATCTGATACTCAAATAGCCAAGCCTTTGGAAATCTCCCTTTATTATCTCAGCTAAAAAATCTAAACCCCTTTTTATAGTACATCTCTCAAAAAATTATCATAGACTAATATCATAATCATAGACATAGTCCTCTATGAAAAGGAAGGAACACAATATAACACCTACAAGTGTATACATCAGGTTAAACAGACTGAAAAAAAACCCTGGACCCTGAATGGGCAAAGCAAAGCATGTATTTGCAAGTATTTTTTAATTACTACCACATGGAGTGATCTAAAGAACATAACAGGAAAGGGGTCTTGAAGAAAACTATGCATGAGCATTGCTGACAGAACAGTGACAACTTTGCAAGGAAAAGGGACTTCGGAATCATGGTCATTAAGAGTACAAACTGTACCTGGGTTGACCTCTAACAGAAAATCAGTGGGCCAATCTTCAGAAAAAGTCTTTTATGTGTATCATTTGTCTAGTCTTAGACACTGGTATGCAGGGACTTGGGAAATATATACTGTTGTTCTGAATTTTTTAATTCATCACGGAGCAAAGCATTAACTTGTACATAATAAAAACAAGTGAAAGCTAGAGACCGGTAACAATTTGCTAGATAAAACCACAAACTTCAAGAGAAGTCCTTGTAGCCTATAAAAAATAGAAACTAAGGTGATTTTTAAAACACTTAAGAGATAGATGCTCCTTGGCTCAGATCTAATTCTGCCTTAGTTC